CTTCTTCAGAATGCCCCAAACACCCAGCGGACTCTGTTTTGTTATACATTGCAGTTTTAATCCATAGACGGTATGTTCTGATTTCCTGACATCAACCATAAGAAACTTGTTTATAAAGTGAAGCATTTGGGTCTCCATAGTACCATTATTGCTGATTGATGCACTCAGAACACTTCATAGCATTTTTGTGTGTATTACAGGGTAAAGTGATTCAGCAGCAATTTTACAAGCGTGTTTGGTTTGATCCACCAGTTGTAAGTTGACTGTAATTCACAAGCAAGTGTGCTGAGTGAATTATGTGTTTACAAGACCACGATAAAACCAGGCCAAAAAAAACAAGACTTCTCCTTTGTTCCACTATCAGCTATTTGAAGAATTTGTTTATTCACTGCACACACGTGCATTGGAAAGCGTGAACCCAAATAGAGAAGGGATAAGCAATGAGGTGAGATTAGAGAAGCTCAAGATGCAGAGTCTGAAAAGCAGAATGTTCTGGAAAATCTCAGAAAGGTTTCAAAGTTTACTGAATAATAGATTCAAGGTGAACCCTGATAGCCTCTTCAGGAGCATCTGAGGGCATCAAGGATTGAAATATCTTCCAGACATTATAATATAATCAAAAGCATAAGTAAAGCACGATGCTCAGACACAAAAATTGGGGTTCAAGTGGTTGAGATTCAAAAGCACGGCCATTTGTTGCCCTTGATTGTTCTTGTGTTTTCATTTTGTTTGGTTGTAATGAAGAGAAAATACAATTCATTTCACTGAAGTGTGCTTTTCAATTTTACAAAACCTCTGGGGATTGCAACAGTTGGCAAAGATGAGCCGAGACTTGAGTTCACAATAAGTCTCATCTATTCTACAGTGACAAGTCAATATGATGCCCAGGGTCGCCATGGATTTCTCAGCTTTAGTAATTCTGAGAAAACAACGGTGAGCAGACCATTTCACTGTTCACAACAATGGTGAATTACTTAAACTTAGTTTTGATTAGCACAACCATGCAATCACTCTAAACACAGAGCAAACTAAAACAAAAACTCGAACGTTTTACAACAGACCTGTTTCAGTTACTGGGTCTACTTGGCAAAAAGTCATTTTCGAAAATGCATTCTTTTGGAGGCCATTATTATTATTTATCTAAAGAATTTATATTTCAACATTTGTCAAAAAAATTAGGCTGAGTATGCCAAGAATGAGATTACAATGATAAATTTTGAATTTCAGTAATGTTTCTCTCATTAAATAATGTGGTTCCTTTTTATAAATTATGGGATGGGAGCTTTGCTGTCAAAACCTGCATTTTTTTTGCTCATCTCTGATTGGCCTATAGGAGGTGCTGCTGAGTCACCTCCTTAAACCTCTACAGCCTATTTGCTCCAGGTGCACCAGTAAGGAAGGAGCTCCAGGAGAGTGAACTCGTGACAATAAAGGAAGACAATATAGTTCCAAGCCATGTAGTGACTAGCTTAGAGGAGAACCTCCCGACAGTGGAATTCACACATGCCTACTGCCTTCCTCCACCTAGGTGTAGAGGTTGCGCGTTTTAGAAAATACTGTCTTCGGAAACTAGGGGAGCTGCTGTAATGCATTGTATATACAGGGAACACTGTGACCATTGTGTTCCAGTAGTAGAGAGTGTGAAGTATTATTCTGGTGGATGAGGTGCAGATCGAAAAGACTTTGTCCTGTGTTGAGTCAAGTTGTCTCGAGGACAGTCATTTTCACCTTAAATCTCAAAGTGAGCTATTTTGTTCCTGTTTGGACCAAGGCTGAAATGAGATTTGGTACTGGGATGACCCAAATGGAGTATTGGTAAGCTGGTCATTGCTGTATAAGTGTTGCTTGATAGCACCATCAACGATGCTATCCATGACTTTGCTGATGATTGACAGTAGACTGATGAAGTGTTAATTGAATTGGTTGGATTTGTCCTGCTTTTTGTGGATAGGACATACCTGGTCAAAATTCACTTTGTTGGGCTGTGTTTGTAACTTTACAGGAACAGCTTGGCTAGGAATGTAACCAGATCTGCAGCACAAGTCATCAGCAATACAGCTGGGATGTTGTTAGAGCCTAGTGCAGCATACAGTGCCTTCAGTATTTTTTTAATATCATGTAAGATGAACTGCACAGGCTGAATTTTGGTATCTTTGATGCTGAAGACCACAAGAGGAGGCCAAAGTAGATTATCCACTTTGTACTGCTGGATGAAGATGGTTGCGAATTGTTCAGATTTGGTCTCTTTCACTCACATACTGGGCCCTATTTTTGAGGAAGGGGACGTTTGTGCATTCTGCGCCTTCTGTTTGTTCTGTATTGTGATTCTAGTAATAAAATGACTCCACAATGGAAAGTGTGTGAATATGAATTCTCACAGCTTTACTCAATCTTATGTGCTTTATGAAATGTTCAGATTTTAAATTAACAGTGCAGTTACTTTATGGATTTCTCTGAGCACTTTTTATCCACACTCAGCTTCTCTTCCAATTAAGCAATTTATAATTAAATTCAGCATCTGTGGAGAGAAAGCAGATTTAATGTTTTGGGTCCAGTGACTCTTCTTCTGTTCTGAAAAAGGGTCACTGGAGCTGAAATGTTAACACTGCTTTCTCTCCACAGATGCTGCCTGACCTGCTGTGTTATTTTCCAGCAATTTCTGTTTTTGTATCTGATTTCCAGTCTCTGCACTTCTTTGTCTTTTTTTCCTCCACTGTTAAATTGCTTTGATCCAGGTTTATGTTGGTATTAAAAATAAGGAGTACAAGCACACATTAAAATAAAACATGATTTACATTCTCATCAGCCTAATAGTATAAAACTTATTTTCTTGCGCTGATTTTCTGATTCCCAATACAATGTTCCATTTGCTCAGCTTTGACATAGAGTTACCAGGACTCTTCAACATGGTCTAATGACCAGGAAAAAGCAAGTAAGTTATTAAAAAAAATGTTACTGCAAATTTGCATCAAATTTATATGAATTGAATTGGCTGATAAGTGCAACTGTTGTAAATGGTTTCATTCACACCAGTTAACGTGAATTTCCAATGTTGACCCTTAAATTCTATCTGGAACATCCCAAATGGAAAATAAACAAAATTTCTCATGCGTGAAAAGCAAGCAAACCACATGATGTGTGTGCACAAGCTCAGCTAATCTCTAGTAGCCAGTCCAGCAATTTTGGCTCATCCAGGGCATTGGTCTATTAGATTTCTACTCTGGCTGAGAATGGCTGCCAACTGTACCACAACCAAAGGTTCAGCTGACACTAATTTGAATCATCACGATTCCGCTGTATCGATCACGTAGTAAATTCCCACATTTACAACCCAATGTAATGTCTTTGCTTGTTCAAGAAATACAGACTAGCAATGCCTTGCAATGACCTTTGAATCAAGAATTTAAGTACAAATTAAAGATGAGGAGTAGTGATATTGCACTGACTATTTTGGATTGAAACTTAAGTCCAATTTTTTCATGCAATACCTAGTAGTGTCATCAGATATGCACTCACTGCATAGATAAAAAGGAAGAGTGCAATCAGTTATCACTATTTCTCACATCACCTCTCTCCCAAAGTTGCTTCCTCTGGCCCCAAGCTATACTTCACCTCAAAAACAAGTGCTCTCCCACGTGATTACCATAAACAGAGTAATGCGCATTTCATCAATGTATTCCCGAAACATTAACCCACTTTCACCTGTTCTGAGGCTGTGACAGCCTGGGATTCTGGAGGGAGGTCATTAAGTGAAAAGCCCTCCATTTTTACTGGGTGCTTGGGACGGGAATCAGACTCCAAGATAATGCCCACTATTTGACTAAAGGCGAGGATTTTCGAAGAGCCAGTAGCTGTGAGCTCTAGGTCAGAGCTCAGCAATATTGCTGCCTTAGAGCTTGTGTGACATACAGCTCACAAACATACAGGGGGCTGCAACACACACCTCGGGAATTCCGAGTACTGAGAGCAGGCAAGAGTGGGTGCGTTGACACTCTTAGAGGGCTTTTCTTCGGGGTTTGGGGATCTGTCTTCTGTCCAGCGATCCACACCTATCCCCCACCCCTTCTGTTACAAGGTGTCAGAGGTAGAGATTAAACCGGCAGAGAAAGACTAAATGCAAGCATTTCTATCAGTTCCACCTTCCTCAATGCAAGTCAGCATGCCAGCAAAACATAAAGTGGAAAGTCGAGCAAAAAATGTTAATTACTTACTGGAATCAGCAGTGAAGCACAGTAGCAGGAATTTTGTAATGAACGTGTCTCATTGTTCAGTATGACTGGTCTGTAAATGCTGTGCTTTGCTGCTTCTAAGAACACCACTACATCACACACAAACTGTATCTTAAGTAACACACGTGAATTGATTTGTCTCGACAAGAAATACCTAAAACGATACTTGTTCCTGTTCATTTGTCAGGGTGAGTTCTTCAAGTAATTTAACTTGTGTTGGCAATGTCTCAGAGCGAGGACTTGCAGCTTTCAATCAGATGCCTATGACTTCAAGATCTCTTTCAGAGGCATAAGCACAAATATTAAAGCAGACACTCCAGTGCATTACCAAGGGAGTGCTGTGCTGTTGAGGATACCATCTTCTGAACAAGACATTAAATCAAGCCCTGTCTGCTGTCTCAGGTTAATGTAAAGGATCCCATGGCGCTATTTCAAAGAAGCATAAGGGGAATTAACCCCGGAGTCTTCACTTCTATTTATGCCTTCAGCAACAGCATAAAAATAAATTATCTGGCCTTTATTTCACTGTTGTTTGTGGGAGCATCCTGTGCATATTTTGGCTAATGTGCCCTCCTATTTTACAACAGTGACTACACTTCAAGAAATTACTTAATTGGCTGCTAGATGAATGCAAGTTCACATGAAATACAGACAGCAGTATTCTAAAGGACAAATAGCATCGAAAGCTGGGTAAAATATGCCTCTAAAGCTTTTTTCTGCTTGCATATTACTAATGCAATATAACTGGATATTTATCACGATGGTCCTTACCTTGTGAACTCTGGGTGTGGATAAACTTTTTAATCAGAGCATCAGTGGTTTGGGTGTAGAGACTAAGTGCATATTTCAAGGACTGCATGTCTGGACTCTTTTCTAGGAATGTCTTCTTGAGGCCATTTCCTCCAGCATGGAAATATTGCTAAAGAACGGGGAAATCCATCAAGTAAAGAAATTAAACAACAACAACAGGGCAGAAAAATCATGTCAATAAGACCACTAATTTTTATGTAGGTGCCACAAATTCATAGCAGCACATACTTAAACTCTACAGCCCAACTGGATCGTTAGTCTAGAAACCACTTTTATAATTTGGAGAGTAAGTACATTGGGCCACGACAATTAAAGCTATTTGGCATGTGCCACCTAAATTAGAATCCAAAATCTGTCAATGGGATAATTTTACTTATTCTAGGAAAGACTGAGTGCAGCAAATATCAGAAACTGGGCTAACTGGATGTGCGAGGGAGTCCATTTATATTAATGCACCAAATGTTAAGGGGGTATTTTATCATAGAGTATTCCTTGCCACATAATCTTTTGTATTTGCTGCACTCAGATTCATCATTGCTCTCAGACAGAAGATGTGGAAAATGTATCCAATTATAGGCAGTTTATACTTTAATATGGATTACTTTGATATTTTAATGCAGTTACAAGAACAACAGGCAACAAAGAACAAGGCTAAAATGTAGTTTTTTTTCTTCCTTATATAAATTTTGTTTTATACTAACTCAAGATTTCATCTCCTACACAAACAGAAATTGCTGATTTCTGAGGAAGGGTCACTTGAACCGAAAGGTTAACTCTGATTTCTCTCCACAGATGCTGCCAGACCTGCTGAGATTTTCCAGCAATTTCTGTTTCTGTTGCTGATTTACAGCATCCGCAGTTCTTTCGGTTTTTAATTCATCTCCTACACTGTTCTTGTGGCTGTGATATTCTGTGTATTTACTACCACGTTCAAGGTTAATAGCTTTGTGTGAAATTTTTCCGTTACTTCACTTATAGGAAATTGGCGTTGCTGGTTGGGCCAGCATTTACTTGAAGGGGAGGGTGAGCTGCCTTGTTGAACCGCTGTAGCCTTTGTGTTGTAGATTAATGCACAAACAAGAAAATCTTTACAATATTTAACAAAGAAACTTCATAAATTGATAAGTACAGGTATAAAATAACTCATTAAGCCTGCACCATCACTCAGTGAGATCGTGACTGGTCTGATTCTGGCCCTAACTCCTCCTTCCTGGATGGTCCCCCCATAAATGTGACACCCTTGTTGATCAAAACTCTTTCTGATTCACCCTTACCCTTGAATATATTTAATGCCCCAACATTTACTGCTCCCTATGGAAGAGAACTCTAAAATACTAATGACCCTCTGAAAGAAGCAAGTCTCAGTCTTCAATGGGAGACTTGTTGTCCTTTGAAACTGTACCCATTAGCCCCAGATTTCCCTGTGAGGGGATAATTCCAACTCTCCTCAGAATCTTACGTGTTTCAATAGAATCACCTTTCATTTTTCTGAACCCCCAATCAATATAGGCCCAACCCGCTCAATCTTTTCTCTGAAGATATTGCCTTTCTCCCAGAAATCAGCCTGTTGAACATTGAGTTTCTTTCAATCCGAGAGTATCCTTTCTTAATTAGGACCAATACTGTCTGCAGTACTCCAGTTTCAGTCCTACTATTGTCATGTAGAATTGTGACAAGACTTACATACTTTTATCCTTCAGCCCCTTTGCAATAAAGGCCAATTTTCCATTTGCCTTTCTAATTGCTTGTTGCGAGCTTTTCATGATTTGTGAATGAGGACTCCCAGACTCCCCTACGCAGCAGCATTCATTCTCTCCATTTAAATGTTTTTCTATTCTTCCTACAGCATTTGTGTGCTAATATCTACATTGGGTCAATAGAAAGCAACAGTAAGTCTGCTCAATACTGATAATCTTGGGGCCCATTTGTACTGTGGTCAATTATTCTTTAAAAACTATAATGGAACACCTATCAGCTTGTTTACTCAGACAGTTAGAATTGGTTTAGGATCTATCCAGCAACCAACTTGAGCTGCAAGTTCAGGGATGCTTGGTTAGACAGAGCATTACACATTCCTCAAATATACTGTTGTCATATTCTTCATACTACAGCTAAGTAATGAGGTGACAGTCAAATCAGAAATCCTTCTCTGTCTACAATGTTTTCAAACAGGCTAGAATAAACTTTTTTGTAACTTGTGCCCCAAAGCTGAACTTGTCTGGTAACTGGTTAAAATTCTGAAATTAATGACAATAGACCTGCTGATGGGCACAATTGAAATTTGAAATAACAGTGATGAATTGACCAAGGTGCAACCTTGCTTAGTGAATTAGAGACGTGCTGTTAGTCACTTTGGGAGGAAACAAAGTCGAAGAAAGTCGAATGTGGCTGCCAAATGATCAAAATGTGAACTCAGATGTTCATTCTGATCGATTGTAACAGACCCACCAGCCTTGCGCAACGTGTCCTTTTTTGGCAATCTATTGGAGGTTATCCTAATTGGCTTCATCCAAACTTAAATAAATCTGAAAAATGAATTAATAGATTTGCAACAGAAAAGCAATTCCTGGGAAAACTCAGCAGATCTGGCAGCATCTGCGGAGAGAGAAACAGAGTTAATGTTTTGGGTCCAGTGTCCCTTCCTCAGAACCCGAAACGTCAACTCTGATTTCTCTCCGCAGACACTGCCAGATCTGCTGAGCTTTTCCAGCAACTTCTATTTTTGTTTCCGATTTACAGCATCCGCAGTTCTCTTGGTTTTTATTTAGTAGTTCGGAAAAGGTTGGTATAATATGCTGAATTTGGGGTGGGGTAGGAGGGGGGAGGAGTAAACTTCAGGTGGAGATAGAGCCCAAAGAGAGAGGCCAACAGTTGGGTATAGGATGGGCAAAGGTCAATCTGAGAATGAATAGTTACTAATGGGAGAATGATTAGTGGCTGACAATGGGTTGGTTGTTGTAGCAGCCCATGTGATGACAAGGCCTGGTGTATGCGGGCTGGTGTAAAGACATGGGAGAAGGGGCTCAGACCCCAAAATTATTGGACTTGATATCGAGTCCAGAAGGCTGCAGGGTTCCCAAGCAGGAATGGAGATGCTGTTCTTCCAGCTTGTGCTGAGCTTTGCTGGAGCGCTGCAGCAAGCCTGAGACAGCTTAAGTTCCAGCGAAGATCAGTGCACATTGACTCTGCTTTCTCTGCACAGAGGCTGCCAAAGCTGCTGAGTCTTTTCTCCAGCAATTGCTGTTCATGCTTCTGATCTACAGCATCTGCAGTTCTTTGATATTTTTAAATGGATTTGGAATATTGGGTGGAATTGTAAAGGGTGATGGAAGTCCTGACCAGTGAATCGGGAGGGGTCTGTTCCTTCCTGCTTTTGTGTTGGGGCCCAGGGCTCACGCAAGTCAACTTCAACTTTAAAGGGCCAGTGGAGCGCAGCAGGGACACAGGCAATCAGATGGCAGGGACTGGTATTCATTGGTAGGTCTCCACCAGCTGCTGACACTGCGGCAGGTACAGGTATAAAAAAGTCTCCTGGTTAAACAAAAAGGCTCTGCACCAAGCCAACAACTTTACAATCCACCTCAATTCTATTAGTACATCGCTCCATCTCTGTCACAATTCTACAGCACCCTCCACTCCCCTTAAATTTCTATCCCCAAAACTCTTCCTTTATTATTCATTCAACTCAATGATGCCCATCATTGCAACCTTCGATTGTGCCTTTCTTCCTCCCGACCCGATCACTCTAATGCTTGCTTTCCTGGCTTGGCTCCTCTCCTCTGTATCCTCAAACTTAGTGAAATCTCTGCTGTACGTATCCAGCATAAGACTTGTTCAACTATCGCCAGGCTGTCATATCTTCATTTTCAGCATTAAAGAGATGCTGGAATAAGCTTGGCTTGTTTTCTTTGGAGTACAGAAGGTTGAGAGCTGACCTGATTGAGGTGAATAGGATTATGAGGGGCATGGGCAGGGTGAGTAGAAAGCAGCTTAGTTGAAGGATCAATACGTGGGGAGGGGAGGGAGCAAGCCTATTGTGTCTCAGTGATAATGCCCCTCCCTCTGGGTCAGGGGACCCAGATTCAAGTCTTATATGCTTCAGATGTACGTCTGAACAAGTTGATTAGAAATATCTAAAAAGGGGTCATAATTTTAAAATGAAAGGCAGGAGGTTTTGAAGGGATTTGAGGTGAAAGTTTTTCACCGGGATGCACTGCCTGGGAGGGTAGTTGAGATGGGTAATCTTACAACCTTTAAAAAGTACTTGGATGAAAACTTGAAGTGTCATGACATTCAAGACAATGGGCCTAATGTAGGAAAGTGGGACGACTGCAGTTTTTTTTTCTTTATTCATTCATGGGATGAGGGCATCACTGGCTAGGCAGCACTTATTGCCCACCCTTAATTGCCCAGAGGGCAGTTACAAGTCAACCACATTGCTGTGGGTCTGGAGTCATATGAAGGCCAGACCAGGTAAGGATGGCAGTTTCCTTCCCTAAAGGACAGGAGTGAACCAGATGGGTTTTTCCGACAATCGACAATGGATTCACGGTCATCATTAGACTGTTAGTCCCAGATAATTATTGAATTCAAATTCCAACATCTGCCTTGGCGGGATCCAAACCTGGGTCCCAAGAACAATATGTGAGTCTCTGGATTAAAAGTCCAGTGATAATACCACTAGGCCATCACCTCCCCACGTTAGTAGTATATTCGTGGTGGTACAGACTTGATGGGCCGAAGGACCTCTTCTGTACTGTATGATACAACAATTCTCTGATTACATCCATTTATTTAAATTATATCTTAACTGTTCCCAGGTTTTGTCCCATTCTATCTCTGAAATCACATCCTACTCTGTGTGTTGCTCTGAACACACAACTCATCCGCTTCTGTGTCTCCTTCCATCCGAGCCTGCATCCGTAATACATGACTCTGAGTTAAGCAACCTTCACCCTTCAAGCTGGCTCTCTCCACCTGGATCCCTCTGCCCTTATCTCTCCCTCCTGTTCAAACTTTGAAAATCTACTCAAAATACATCTAAGCTTTATTACCCTTCTCATTACATTTCTTTGGGGCACTCAGAGTCATACAACACGGAAACAGACC